AATTGGTTAGAAAAAAGAGAGAGAGAGAGAGACTCAAGTTCTCCATGAATAGTGATCCAAGCCTTGGTGGCAAGAAAATTTTGACAACACTTGTGAGATATAGTCCGGCATAGATTTTCAAAATAAGGCAAATGAGGAATTAAGTACTAACAAGGTAGGGTGGCCTATGTTTCTCCCGAGTAAGATTGTTGTGAATTTCAACTAAAAAAAAACAAAACGTTTAATCAAACTCGAAATTCAAAAAAGGAGTGTCACATTTCCCCACACATCTTTCAAGCGAGGATTGCCTAATAATAGATGCTAGGTAGGGTCGCCTCACAATAGATCATTCTTTCAAGCATGATTGCCTAATAATAGATCATCATGCTAAGTAGGGTCGCCTCTTAATTGACCATTTTTTCAAGCGGGATCGCCTAATAATAGATCATCTGTGTAGGTAGGGTCGCCTCACGGTAAATCATTCATTCGAGTAGAGTCGCCTCTCAATTGACCATTCGTTCATGCGGGGTCGCCTAATAATAGACCATTCATTCGGGTGGGGTCACCTTTTAATTGACCATTCTTTTAGGCGGGGTCGCCTAATAATAGACTAGTCATTTAGGTAGGGTCATCTCACAATAGACCATTCTTTCAGGCGGGATCGCTTAATAATAGATCATTCACTTAGGTAAGGTCGCTTCTCAATTCACCATTCTTTCGAGCGGGATCGCCTAATAATAGATCATTCACTTAGGTAGGGTCACCTTATAATAGACAATCAATTTCTAATAGGGTCATCCAATAATAGATCATCATGTTAAACATGATCGCTTTATAATAGATCATTCTTTCAGGTAGGGCCACCTCACAACGAGACCATTGCATATTCAATTTCTAGGATAGGTCTGCCCTTTACAATAAGACCACATATAACACGTTTAATTTTTAGGGTAGGTCGCCCTTTACAATAAGGCCACGCACTCGCATATTTAAATTTTAGGGTAGGTCGCCCTTTACAATAAGGTTGTGCATTGCACATTTAATTTCTAGGGTAGGTCGCCCTTTACAATAAGGCCATGTATTGCATGTTTAATTCCTAAGGTATGCTTGTCCTTTACAATAAGGCCATACATTGTAAAAAAAAAAAAAAAAAAAACACCTTTTCTTTACAAGCTTATTAAACAAAGTCATTGACTTTGTGCCACAAGCATTGTAAAGAGGGGGCAACTCTAATAACCCAAAATTTATCTTTTTTTTATTATTTTTAGGTTTTACTTTTCATTTCATGTATGTTTTGTTTTGTTTTAATTTAAAGTTTACTGAAAAAAATGATGAAAAACACAAAAAAAAAATTATTTAGGGACACAATTGAAGTAATTAGGAGTGTAATCGAGTCAATTAAGAAATTTAAGCCATAAATTGCACCTCACGAGGATCCAATTGACAAGATTGTACTTTATAAAGACTGAAATTGTACCATCGAAGGGCATGATCGCCGAACTTGAAATGCACGAGGACCAAACTAGAAGTTTGGAGCGAACGACGGGACCGAAATGGAGAAGATGACCTATCGTCCACTCCAATGCAAATTATGTCCGAAAATATTTGGGAGAAATCGCTAAATCCTCCATCAAATTTTTTGTTTTGATTTTGCATTTATCATGATTATTGGATGAAATTGATACCAATTGAAAATCAAGCAATTTCTTGTTTTAATTTTGCATTAATCATGAATTAAAGAGGAAAAATTTTAATAAAAAAAATTCAGGATTTGAGATTCGATTCTAGGAGAAATTTTAAAAATTTTTTTGCTATAAACCGTTTTGAATTTCACAAAACGAGAAAAAAGGAAGGAGGGGACGTCCGGGTTTAGAAAGAGTGAAAACTAAAAGCAAAAGATTCAAAAATTTGGGGTGACGAGTTGCTAGGTTTATGGGTTTGTGTTCTTGGTGTTCTTGGGGTTCTAGGTTTTATTTCGTCGGTTGGTAGTCTCCTTTAGTCCTTTGTTTGTTCTTTTTGGGGTTAATTTTCCATCCTCGAGTGTTTCTTAACTACCTTTAAAAAATTTTGGGGTTCATTTCTTCTACATCCGAGTTTTCTCTTTTAAATTTTTTGATAGCCATTTGAATTTGTTCTTGGTTTTTTTTGGGTTAGTGATCTTCATTCTAGGTTTGCGTTCTTCATCTTGGGTCGATTGAAAAGGATTATTTAGGACTATTTTGAGGAATATCATTGTTTTTTTAGTGTTAAAACAAGAAATAGAGGGTCAATAGTTGAAAAATCGCATGAAATCTTTGTTTTTGGGTTCATCAATTCTTCTTTTTTTCGGGTTTACTTGATGTTCTTCAGCTAGTGATTTCAAGGTCAACTCTCGGGTTCGATCTTCCCATTTTGATTTCATTGTTGCTTTAGTGATAATTGTTTGCTCGTCGATATTTTCATGCCATGAATTGTTAGTTTGTGTAATTAATCATTTGTTCTTGAAAGTTTGAAGAAATAGAGAGAGGAAGTTAAGAACGTGAAGAACATGAGAGAGAAAGAATCGAAACTTAAAAAAACATGTTTTGATCGAAACATTAAGGGAAGTGGGCACGTTTTTCGATTTGTAGCCCGGTAGAGTTAAAAACAAGGGCTGGACTGATTTCAATCCGAGTTTAGCCCATGGCTAATAAAAAACAAGGGGACAAAAAGGGGTTGGACCGAATTGTTCCTTGCCCCAAAAAAAAAAAAAAAAAAGCTCTCAATAAAAAAATGAGAAGGAAAAATATGCACTAGTTGATTTCTTTTAACCAACCTTCTACCGAAAAAAAAATAAAACAAATAAGAAAGAAAAGGAAAATGGAAGGGGTAAAAAAAGAAAAAGTTGCGAGTTAATAGTTTAAATCTATGATGATTTATGTTTTTTTTTATCCATTTATCTATCGTAATTTTTATTTTTATTTTTTTAGCTCGTTTATTTTTATTCCTTATCGTTTTTTCTTTCTTATATTAATTTAGAATTGTTGCTTCATTTTTTTTTAATATGTATTGTTTTAAAAAAAAAAAAATCTTGACGAAGTCTCCTATCTTATACGGATTGACGCCACCAAAAAGAACGTTTAATATAATTTATTATTTTTTTGACGAAGTCTCTTATTTGATAGGGACCGACGTCACCAAAATTCATTTGTTTAATCAAAATGTCCTCTCGACACACCGGTTGTATCAAGGCTTAAAGTGGATCCGATGTTTGAATCGACGAGTCGTCCGACAAAGGGGACCAACGATCGTTTCAATACGATGCCACGCCCAAAACTAAAAAATTCAATTTGTCTTAAAAAAATTAGAGTTTAAAAATCAAAAAAATAATTTGACGTAAATAAAATATTTTAGGAGATAAATTTAGAGCTAAATCGGACGTGGTACCTTTCTTTGGAAAAGGGCGTTTTTAGGTGATCGATATCTTCCCAAAAGCATAACCAACTCCTTACCATAGAATCTTCGAACCGAGTGTCCGTTTTAGGTTCCTAGTTCCTTCAATACTAAGTGGCGACTCCAAACTCTGTAAATAAACTTGTAAATACCAAATCTAATTGTAGATATTTTTGGAGAGTCTCGTCCGACGTCGGGTAGCGACAAAACGTTTAAATGGTTAGGTGAGGTTCCAAGATAGATTTTAGATTAAATCAATAATACAATTTCTATAGTGAAAGCCCTTTAAATTTAGGTGGATTACATTAAGCATAAGGATTATGCACATCAAGAATCATCTTAATTCAAAAGTTTAAAGTATTAGGTGAGGTCTTAAGCATGATTTTAAATTAACTCAATAACACAACTTTTAAAGTGAAAGCCCTTTAAACATTTAAATTATTAGGTAAGGTCACAAGAAAGATTTTAGATTAGCTCACTTACACTCTTTTAGGTTGATTACATCAAGCATAAGGATTATGCATGTCAAAGAATCATCTTAATATAAAAATTTAAATTATTAGGTGAGATGTTAAGAAAGATTTGAGATTAACTCACTAACATGCTTTGTAAAGTGAATGCTCTCTAAACTTTAAGCTTTTATAGACTCATCATTACTTTGTATTAAAATTATTAAGTTAATTAGAAAAATGATCATCTCAATACAAAAAGTTAAGTTATTAGGTGAAATTTTTTTATAATGGTTTTATATTAACTCTCTAACAATGCATGAGAAGGACTAAAAAATATAAAATAACCACTTTATCCTAAAAGTTTAAGCTATTAAAGACGTCTTCAAGTTATGTTTTATATTATTATCTAACAAATCTCTTTAAATAAAAAATTTTGACTTGAAATTTGCACAAATCCATACTAACTCATGCTTAATTCTTTTAAAAAAAATTAATTAGAAGTGCTCTCAAGTGAAAATTTCTTGGATTTAAAACTTTTACAAACAAATACTACCTTGTGCTTAATTCCATTTTAAATTAATTAGAAGAGAGAGGAGGGATAATAGGATTCAAATTCATTTGGTTAGTAAGGCTCTCATGTTATATCAAATAATCATCTAAACTCAAAAAATTAAGCTATTAAATAAGATTTCAAAATATCATTTATATTACTCTCTACCAAAATAAAAAGTGCTTCTATCTCAACTCATATAAACATACTTGTTTAAAATTAAAGTGTGAGGTCGATCTTAACGAAAAGTCACTAAGAAAAATAAACATATAAAGAGAAGGATGGAGTTTGAGAAACAGTACCTTGAGCAAAAAGGTGGCAACTTGATAGAATGCTGGTCGGTTTTGAATCTGCAAAATTTGGAGGAAGGAACATAACAAGCCAAAGATTGTAGGATTTAGCAATTGAAAAGAACTATATATATTCTAATTGTGTAAGTAGCGGATGTCCATTGGATCTTCCGTTGAAGAAAACAAATAGACTCCATTACATCCCAACTAATATGATTGGCTACCATGGTTGAAATATTGGGTCAAGTCACGATATAGCTTAATAATACCACCTAGTCTTAAAACCAAAAGAACAAGCCTCAGTAGGGTCCGATACCTTTAATAAGGACTTTCCTCCCCGGACCGCTCCCCAGATCTCCCAACCCCTGCCTTGCCTGCCCCGAAGTTTCTTCCTGCAATTTTACCTTGTGGGGACCTGTAATAGGAAGGCCTGCGGCATAATTTAGTGCATATAAGTTAATTAATTAAATAGTTTAGAGTAGAAATTATACATATGCAGGCAATATTGTAAGGTTTAATAACGACGTGGTTGGTGTATACGTACAACAGTAGAGGAGTGTTTCATATATATTTATTGGATATCCACTCTTAAAAGCAGATGGGGAGTTGGCTAGAATTTGAAGAGCAGTTGCGCCCTTATTGTCCTCCAATTTGTGGAGCGATTCATCCAGTTCTAGCAACATCACAGCTGTTTCTGCAATGTTTATTAGAGATATAAAATCAATTAAGCAGGCAATATTAAGGAAAATTATATATTTCCTGATTGTATTTGTTTTCTTTATTCTCTATAGAAACAGGTCATATGTCTAACAATCTATGGATCCATCAATACAATATCTTAGTATTTTTGAGAATTAAAGGGAGAAATTATTACCATAGTGTTGCCCTAAGATAGCAGCGCTAAGGATGGAGAGATTATCAAATGAAGGTCGCTGGCGGTGAATTGATTTTAGGCGGCCATGTTCTTCCACTATTTCTTTTGATAGAGACACAAGCAAGAACTTCACTATTTCTGGATCAGCAAATTCAGCAGCTGTAAACAATGGGGTTTCACCATATACATTTGCAATGGTAACTAGGTCTGGATAACGTTCCACCAATAGTTTTACTGCCTCAAAATTTCCGTAGATGGTTGCCTCGTGAAGAACCGTATTTCCATATTTGTTTTCACGCTTCAAGGGATTTGGTTGCGAAATATTCTCGAAAAAAGTATTTTCTAATTCTTCAGTACCGTCGTCCTCAGAGGGTAACAAAGCAAGTAAAGCTTTAAGTGGTTGCTCTTTTTGGCTGCACACTGCTATATGAAGTGCAGTATCCTGAGAGGATGTAACTGGATTTAGCAAATCTGAAAAGTGCAAGTGATAGTGGTCAATCATGCTTTTCCAATCTCCAATCATGGCTGCTCCATAAGGTTTAATGTTTGAAAGAGGATCCATTGCTAGCTGGTCTCTGTATGTAAAATAATGTAACTAAGTGGTTATCCAAAAACAAAATTAGGAAATTAATGAAAACTACTGTACCTTTCAGTAATTGAAGTAATCCAATTGCTCCTCTAGGCTGTAGCTAGCTGCCTCTTCGTGGATTCAATGCCCTGCCCACCAACAAAACTTGTTTTTGGAGAGAAAAAACCTAGCTGTTATGATAATCCTATATATACAATCGATTGGTATCTGAGCTTTGCTTGTTTAGTTTAAAAAGTTAAAAACTATTATGAGAATAAAATAAAGGTAAAGGTTTATATTTATTTTCTTTTATAAGAATAAAATAAAGATATGTTTTATTCTCTTCTCCTTTTTTTATTTTTAGTGTTGGGTTGTGATTAAATTCAGATTTCTAAACTGTCCCATACCAAAAAGATTTCAGATCGACTCGTACCTTTATTTCTGTTTAAGTAATTGAATAATACTTTTATAGTCAATCTCTTAATATACATATAGTTTATAAACGTAATTTACATAAACAATTTGATAGTTACACACGTTGTACTTCAATAAATAAATAAATATATATAATTTTTTTTTAATACGTTCAGAGGTATATAAATTAATATTTTAGTCTAAGAAAGTGATCTGTATAGCACTGTTTCTACCTGCTTCTTTTTAGCTTAAGAACTTGAATCAGTATAAAATAAATTAATTAAAATTAATTTTATGCCTTTTTTAAAAAAATTCAGTTACATTTATTAAAGCGTACGAAGTAGTACTTTAATCGCACACACAAACCGATCATTGCTAGCTAACCTTATCTTAAGCAAAATCGCATATTCTGCAGCTTGCTATCGTGATTCATGTTCTTGCTTTTGAAACAAACAAACGAATAAAAAGACAAAATTTTATAATTACTAGTTTGTTTTTCTTTTGGAATAATCAAAGTTTAATTGTTCTCATGCCTCCTAGAATATTAGATGTTTTCATTTGTTTTTTCGTATAAAGTTACAGTTATTTTTTCGATAAAATTTGAGGATGGATTAATAAGAAAACAACTAAGGGTAGTTGATAGAATTACATAGTTGAGACATATATATATATATATATATATATAAAGAAATAGTGAAATAAAAGGATTATAATCAAGTTACTAGATTATTGGTTCTATACATACTACTTTTGACTAGGACTGTCAATAAGCTGGATCTCGATTCGAATTTAATGTAATTAAATAAATTTAGTAAGTTAATTTATTGATCCAAATCCGATTATGATTCAATTTGATCAATATTAATACTTTTTAGTCATCTAATATTTACTAATAGCTAAAATAACATGTATCAATAAATTTTTATGGAATAACTTGTTACTGATGTATGATAATATTGACAATATTTTTTTACAAGCCTTGATTTATAACACTATTATCGTAGAATTCGAATTAATAAAGATTTATTTTTCTATTACATGGACAAAAAATAAAAATTATTTATTATTATTATTCTTTTATTTTTATCATACTTTCTATCTAGTTCAAGAAAAAATTTTATTAGGCTTATTTGATTTTGTGCTTTTAAATTATATGGTATTTTAATTTTATTTTTTATAAAATTAATAGATAAAATATTATCTTAATATACCTTGTTATATATGCATTGGTTGAAATATATTTTATATTCAAGCAATATATTATATGTAGTAAGAATAAATTTTTTTACAAAAACCAGGTGATAAATCCGATAAGGTTCCAAATCTAATACAAATCTATTAAGATTCGGATCTATATTTTGAAAATCCTATCCGAATTCATAAGATCTAATTCGATTTGTTTTATGAAACAAATTAAATTTGAATCTATTATGATTTGATATGAATTTAATCCGTTTACAACTCTACTTTTGACCAATAAATTAGTCACTACATTCCTTTTTGAAAAATATGATTGAAAGAAACATAGCTCAAAGTTTTAATCGAATATGAAAACATCAATGAATTTAAAAAAGACTTTGAAAATACCAAAATCTAGCAAAAACTTATGTATTTTTCTAAGTAATAATTGTTGCTATCCGACGTCGGATGGGACTTCCCAAAATATTAAATCTAAGTGTTAATATTTTATTTACAATGTTTAGAGTTGCCACTTAGGATTAAGGAACTAGAAACCTAAAAGTTACGCTAGTCTAGAGATTCTATGGTAAGGAGTTGGTTACGCTTTGACAAGATATTGATCACCCAAGGACGCCATTTCCTAATAAATGTATCATGTCTAGTTTAGTCCTAAATTTATCTTCTATAATATTTTATTTATTGCCAAATTATTTTTCAATTTTTGAACTCCAATTTAAAGCCAAATAATAATAATGATAATTATTGGGCGGGGCATCGTATTGAAACGATTGTCGGTCCCCTTCGTTGGGCAACATGTTGGTTCAAACATCGGATCTTCTTTAAGCCTTGACACAATCGGTGTGTCGGAGGATATCTTAATTAAACAATAATTTTTTTGTAACGTCGGTCCCTATCGGACAAGAAACTTCATCGAAAATTTTAGATGTTTTTTTTTTTGTGACGTCGGTCCCTACTAGGTAGGAGACTTCGTCAAAAATTTTAGATTTTAGATTTTTTTATATTATTATTTTAATTAATCTAATAGCATTAAAAAAAAAGAAATTAAAACATCAACTCTAAATTAATGCAAGAGGATGAGAAAAAAATAAATAAATAGGCGAAAAGAGAGTGCAATTAAAATATTAAAGGAAATTATTTTAGGTCCCCTACCTTATTTGTCTCCTACCAATTTTGTTTTCCTTTTTCTCGCTTTTTCCTTTTTTTATTTTTTATTTTTTTGAGAGAGGCTGGATTTATTCCGGACTCTCTTCTCTTGCATTTTTTTCTTTTTTTTTTTTCAATTTAGGAGAAGGGCGGAGGCTAGACTATCCCCCTTTAGTTTTTTTTTCTTTTCTACGTGTGGGGATAAGGATTGGGGTAGGCTAATTGCGAGTCCGGCCCCCTTTCATTTATTTGCTCAAACGGGCCGGAGCCCGAAACGGACCTAATAGAAAACCTCTTGAAATTTCGATCAAAACCCAAATTTTAAAGCTTCGATCTTTCTCTCTCTTGTTCATTAGGTTCTTTAACTTCCTCTATCTATTTTCTAGTCTTTTTTTCAAAAATTAAAGCTTCATTCAAGACAACACAACATACCATGTTCATGTTCTCATCCGAATCGAACACCAAATTCAAAGCTTAAATGAATAGTTAACTATCATTTAAAATGAAATTTAATAGAATCAAAACTGGAAAATGAAGAAAGAGAAAAAAATGAATACTGACACAGTGAGCTTAAACGAATGATTATTGTTCTCAAAAAAGATTTGGACCCTCGGGATGCTTGTGGGAAAACTTAAGGAATTATCAATAGATTGTCGATGCTCAAGTGAAATCAAGATCGAAGAACTAGAGTTCAACGAGTGTGAAGAACTCCAAAACATAAAACCTAGGACACCAAAAACATTCAAACGCAAGAAAGACCGAGCAATGAGTCCAAAAAAGGTGAACTCGAGCCTAGAAACGAAGAATAAGAAGAACACTCGACTACTACCTAGAAAACCCAAAAAATACAGAATTTGATTTTTTGAATTCCCAATCCTTTTTCTTTGCTTTTCACTCCTCTCAACGCATAATTCCTCTCTCTTTTTCTCTCCCTTTTTCTATGAAATCGGACTCGTTTTATAGCCAAAAACTTTATTGAATTTTTCCTAGAATCAAATCTCAATCTTGAATTTTTCTATCAAGATTTTCCTTTTTAATTCGATTAGCTTATCAATAAGGAAAGGAATCGATCATTGTTTGATTCTCTGTTGGTATTGATTTTGGCCAAGAATCCATGATTAATGCAAAAATCAAACAACAAATTTGGTGCAAATTTGGACAAATCTTTTGAAAGATTTTCGGATAGGATCTACATTAGGGTGGAAGAAAAGTCATTCTCTCCAGTTCAATCCTCGTCGTCCACTATAAGATTTCGAGTTTGGTCCCTATGCATTTCAATTTTAAGCAATCATGCCCTCCTCGTGGTATAATTTCAATCTTTGTAAAGTACAATCCTATCAATTGGGTCCTTAGAGGATGTAATTTAGGTGTGAATTTTTTAATTGGTTCGATTATACCCCCGATTACCTTAATTATACCTTCCTTTAAATGCAATTGTGTACCTAAATGAATGTTTTTGGGTTTTTCATCATTTTTTACTTTTTTGGTTTTTTTTTGTAGTAAACTCCAATGTGAAATAAAAATAAATAAAAGACATAAATAAATAAAATTAAATAAGTAAAATAAAACAAAATGAGTAAATTTTGGGTTATTACAGTTGCCTCCTTTTTACAATGTTTATGGTGCAAAGCCAAATGAAAAGAATACTCTTTAATGACTTTGTTTTATAAGCTTGTAAATAAAGAGTTTTTTTTTTTACCCGAAAGTAAAGCTATGATGGGATGACTTTGTTATGAAGGATGGCATACTTTAAAAGTTAAATATGCAATGCATAGCTTTGTTGTAAAGGGCGACCTATCCTAAAAATTAAACTTGTGATAAATGGCCTTATTGTAAAGGACAACCTACCCTAAAAATTAAATATGCAATGTGTGACCTTATTGTAAAGGATAGCCTCTCCTAAAATTTAAACGTGCAATACATGGCCTTATTGTAAAGGGCAGCCTACCCTATAAATTAAACGTGCAATGCATGCCCTTGTTATAAAGGGTAGGCTACCTTAGAAATCTAAACGTGCAATACGTGAGCTTGTTGTAAAGGGCGACTCACCCTAGAAATCTAAACTTACGATGTATGGGCTTGTTGTAAAGGGCAACTTACCCTAAAATCTAAATGTGCGATGCGTGACCTTATTGTAAAAGGCGACCTACACTAAATTTTAAACGTGCAATACGTGACCTTATTGTAAAAGGAAGCCTCTCCTAAAATTTAAAGGTGTAATGCATGGCCTTATTATA